TGTGAAGTTTTCTGTTTAATCCCATCCAGCTCTCTCAAACCTTCAGTATTTCTTCATCCATACACTAATTCAAATTATTAAACCCTAAGTTATTCATTTGTGAGATATTTGTACAGTTTTTTTAAAACTGATCAACTGTTTAAGCAACTAATCTCTTGAGAACTGCGCTTGTATTTTGCAATTCTTGTTCTTATACTTACACAATCAGTTTTATTGACTAGTTCATTAATGTTTACATCTACCCTGTTACTAGCTCATCATTATTTTTTATGATAATAAATTGTAATGAATATTATTGAATAATTTCGAAACTACTTCATCTATAATGATTATAAATCCAATTGGGAAATCTCTGTTATGCAAACAGCGCCCAGAAGAAACTTTACTTTACTCAATTTATTCTTCAATACGAACATCGTGATGAAATGGTCGAATTAATACTGTTTGATAAGCACTAAAATATACACGGTCCAAATCTTTTTCTTGATTGAACATCTTCAAGCACTGAACTAAATTAAGACTTTATTAATCTAGCTTTCTTAGAATTTAATCTTATCAGCGCACAACATAACAATTACTTAAGCAATGACCGTACACTAATAACAAATAATTCCAATATACAAAATTATCAAGACCTTACTAAATTCAACTATTTAAATTAACCTATATTAACAATATACCGTATCCCAATGCATCAATTGTAATGAGTCTATTGAGTTCTGATCCATCACTATTAAATCATCCTATCTAGAAAGAATAAGAAGAAAGAAACCTAAGACGGATTATTTTATTCACTTTTTCTTTTCATTTAATTTCAAATAAATAATTTTTTCCCTAATCAAATATTTATTACTATCAGAACGGGTTTTGTGGATATTATAGTAATTTCAGTGGTCTAGATCATGAGTCGATTAAAGCTAGACCACCATATAAAACGTGGAAGCAGTAGACGGCCTTTTCGTCCTATTGTGGTCTAAAGGTTAGGCGTTTGCGCGCGAAACCGATAAATCCTGTATTCAAATCTCGCGAGGCCCGATCAAAAATGCACACTGCTAAGGAGTCCTACAATAGGACGAAACGGCCATCCAATGCTTCCAAATTTTCCATGGTAGTCTAACTTCAATTGACGCATGATCTCAACCATTAAAATATTTATTACTTAAAAGTCAATTTATCTTGTTATAATTTTTTTCGAAAAAAATTTATCATCTCTGTTGAATGTTCAAGAATGTTTGAATTTTTCTATTGTTTTACAATATTCTTTTTTTTTAACTTTATGTAATCACAATATAAATAAATGATCTTTATTCAATCAATAGTTATGTAATTTTTTATGTGCTAGAATAGGTTATAGATATTTTTTTCTTTCAAGTGAAATATCTAGTTATACAAAATATCACTATAAAATGATTACAGAAATTATCACTATACTCTAATCTATGGTATGATCTATTGTATGTATCACTAAATGATTAATAAACTAAATAAAATCATTCATTTAAACAATCAAGATATTCTATTGAATTATATCTTTAATGTTGAATATACAATTAAAAATGACTTTACAGTACATAATACTCATTGAATAAGATGATTTATAAGTTAAAGATAAAATATCATTTTGTTCTACTATATTACTAATGGATTTATGAGACTATGATCATTACGATTCAACTCAAAGTATGGTACAATATCAGTATTTAGCTAGATCAGCTGATTATTTCTTTGAATTAGTTCATATAGCATAGACTGTCTAGTGAAACATTGAAAATATTTTAGTTGTAATCAGTGAGAGTTGTATAAATATAATTTCACTTTAAATGTATTTTGTTTACGCTGTGCTTAGTTCTTAAAACTTCAAAAAAAGTCTTAATACCATACTAAATTACTTAAGTGGTCAAGAATTGTACGGTAAGCTCGCCCTTAATACTTATGTAACTGGAATTAAAAACTACTCCAAGTCGCAACACTATGGATCATCGTTGGACAATCAGTTGAATGGAACTCATCACTGTACATCAGCTTCTTTGATTATGAGAAAGCATATGACAGAGTGAATAGGAGAACCTTGTAGAACCTTCTTTGATACAATGGTGTGGGTAGCTGAAAAAATCATCAGCATCATCCGAAATTCATACGATGGACTACACTGCAAATTTTTGCACAGAGGACAGCTGACTGAAACATTCCAAGTGAAGATCAGACACACACAAGGCTGCTTACTTTCCCCTTTTATCTTTCTTCTGGTGATTGACTGGATTATGAAGACCTCGACATACAATGCAATGGACAGCTTGGATGCAACTAAACGATATGGACGTCACAGATGACCTGGCCTTTCTGTCTCATACACAACAAATGATGGAGGTCAAAACAAACAGTGTACCAGCAGTTTCTGCATCATTAGGCCTCAACATACACAAAGGAAGAAGCAAGATACCCGAATACAATACGGAGAACAACCTAATCACACTTGATTAAGAGACTCTGTAATAGGTGATATATTTCACGTATCTGGATATTATGATCGATGAACAAGGTGGACCAGATGTAATGTAGAGCCACGGATTAGCAAAGCAAGGACAGCAGTCCTACAGTTGATGAACATATGAAACTCAGAGCCACCGTCAATCAATACTAAATTCAAAATCTTTAATACGAACGCCAAGAGAGTTATACTGTACGGTGCTGAAACTTGAAGAACTACTACATCCATCGTCAAAAAGTGTAGTTATTTATAAACAATTGTCTACACAAGATACTCTATCTGTTGACCGGATACCATCAGCAACAGCTTACCGCTGAGAGAACATATCAACTTCCATCTGAAAAGGAATTAAAAAAGAAATTGGAGGTGGATAGAACATGCATTACGAAAATCATCAAACTTCATCACGAAACTAGCGCTAACTTAGAATCCTAAAGAGAAACGGAAAAGAGGAAGATCAAGGGACATATTGTGCGGGAATTGGAAGCAGACATCAGGAGAATGAATAGCAGCTAGAAACAACTGGAAAGTTTGCCCAGAACAGAGTTGAATGAAGAATGCTAATGGACGGCCTATGCTCCTCCATACGTGATAACTGTCGTATCAGTAAATTATCTAAACAGCTGAAGGCAAGCGGACTAAATAAATAAATACACATATATACTACGATTACAAGTCAATTTATAAAACAATGAGTATTAAAGAAATAACCATTTAGTAGAAAAATCCTCAATTATGTTAATTTTTTTTCGAACAAAAATCGATTAATGGTGGTTTGCAACTCCTCATATTTTTCCCTACTTCGTGTTTGATCAGATCAAGTATACATGAAAACATATATTCACGGTGGATTATCTCTGGAATATTATAACATTTCTTACAATACTGAATTTCTGTCTGCTGAGTACAGTGCAATAAATAGATTTTGTTATAACTATAAATAGCCAATGATTTAACGAATATTATTTATTCTATTACATCAATACGAATTGAACATACGGTCTATTATCATACATATCATTTCCTATTAATTTATCCCATAAGAAATTACTATTAATTATATGACATGATTTCCGTTCTGTTTAGAAAATACATAATAAACTCATAGATTTATAGTAAGTTCAATGGGTAGATCATGAGTCAGTTGAAGCTAGACCACCATGGAAAACCTGGAAGCACTGGATGGCCGTTTCGTCCTAGTATGGGACTCCTCAGCAGTGCGCATCCACGACCTCGCTCCCTGCGAGATTCGAATCAGGACCTACTAGTTTTGCGCACGAGTACTTAACCACTAGACCACTGAGCCGGCATCCAACGGTGTTAATGTCTAACTTCAACTACTGAGGAGTCCGACAATAAGACGAAACGGCCATCCAGTGCTTCCAGGTTTTCTATGGTGGTCTAGCTGCAACTGATTCATGATCTTAACCATTGAAATTACTATAATATCCACAAAGCCCATCTGATGTTCATAGATTTATAGTTAGTTTTCACTTAATGAAAATGAATTTCTGCTTACAACTGATTTACGTATTTATAAACTGAAAACTATGATCATTAAAAGACTGATGGTTAAGTTTGAGATGAAATTCTTTAAGATCAAATGTAAAATCGTGACTAGTCAGGACAAAGTAATCTCAGGAGTGAGTTAGTTATCAATTTAGACATTGACTAATCCATGCTTCTAATCACTAGTTGTCTGAATTCGGAAATACCTGTTCATCAAATTCTAAAAGTTGTAATCTAAAAGTATAGTCTTCATTGTAAAACATCAAGATTATTCATTCTGTTGCATGTCTTTAGTATCTATTACTTGGTAGTTCTAACCTGAAAAGAAACAGCCTCCTAGTGCTTTTTGATTCTCTCCAGATAATCTCTAACAATAACAAAAGCTTTCTTAAAATACGTTTGTAAGAATTTATAAATTTTGAGACATATATTTAAACTACTTTGTAGATCAATTCAAATCACAAGGTTAACAATAAGGGTATAAGGATGTACATCATAGGGTGAACACAATCATTATATATACATATATATCTCTTTTTTCCAAAATCCAGATCACTGGTTTGTTTGGATACATACCATATTTATTAGTTAAAATAACCATAAAACCTTAAAACTGTACGACATAATATTACGAACGTGATATTCTAATGTTTTTTTTGTGTCCTATCATTTGAATGACTATATTCTACCAATCATCAATCTATATAAATAAATAATGAGTAATTACCTTGACAACATTAACAGAAATATTTTACAAATTTTAAATGTTGACTAGTCAATTTTAGTTTTACAAAAATAGTTTTATTTTTCTATTTATTTATTTCATTCATAAAGTATCCAATATTATTCGATTTGTCTTCTTGGTCAGATTGGTTTGTAAAAAAAAAATTTTTTTTTAATGACTCGGTCAGGCATTATCGATTATCCAATGATTCCAATATTCAATTCCCCCCCCCGCTTTTCATCAATTCATGTGTATATGTCTGTCCTACTAATTTTTGTTGTACAGTCAAAGTATTTTAAATATAATGTCAGTTGATATAGTCTATTTTCTCCATTTGAATAAAATGCTTATTATAGTAGTAATGGACATTTTATTATGATTGGATAATTTACAAAAAAAAATTATTATTATTATTTTTTGATTGGGAAATCGAAATAATCCTAAACACTTTATAAAAGCCCATTAGATTAGAAAGTTGACAATAGTAAAACAAACAATCAAAAATTCTAATCAAGTTGCCTCAACAACAAAAAATATAAAAAAAAATAATATTAATAATTTATTCAATTGAAAGTCTATAGTTGGATTATATTATTTAATAAATAAATAACTTATTAAATCATTGAAATTTCATTTATCTAATTATATTAATTGAGGATAATATCATAATGTCTGAATATTATGAAGGTGAGAAATGTTAATTTTGTTTATTTGTGTTTAAACCAAAAACTGAAATAAATGCTAAATTGTCAATGTATAAACTATATCTGTTATTTTATATTCATTAGACAAATAGTGAATAAGATAGACTTTATCATAAATGAAAACGTTCTCTTTATTAAGATGAATTTTCAAAGCTATAAATATTAGTATGTTTTATCTTATTATAAACTACAAAAGACTTGTTCACAAATCAGTCATCTTGATATATATATATATATATATATATATATACTGTTATCTAACATTTATTTATTATTTATTTATTTTAACACATAGATATTGGTACAAGGAGGCACCAAATACATATGCACCACATAAATCATTCGATTTCTGTGGGGGCTGTGATACTGCCCGGGTGCCCAGACAGAAGCAGGTGGTTTTCTTAGGGGGCCACACACCGAGCCTTTGACCTAAAGGTCTGATCCACAAGGCAGTGGAGCATCGTAAGGAGATGCAGTCCCATGGTAGCTGGTGACCAAAGAGTGGTTCATACGCCATTTGTTCCCACAGGATACTGGAGCCCATGTGCACCATTGGTTTGGAATCCGGTTAAAGCGCCGGACATTCGCTTTTCGTTCTCTCAATTTCGTAAACAACACCCCTGCCACGATAAGGCAGTGAGTAGGACTTCCGTGACATAGGCTGTATACGTGTGGCCATGTGAGAGCATTTCGAGAGGGAGGATGGGGCCAATGGGAACAATAACGGGACGGATTTGCATGCATATAGCATACAATTCTCTTTGAACCTAGCACACAACAATAGCATCATGCACTGTCCCGTCGCCCTTGGCAGATCAGGCAACCCGAAAGTTACGAGAACACCATCAGGGCATGCGACAGGCTAGGTATCTAACAATCACCAGATAAACATTATATTGTCATGTTACATACTCAGACACTTAAAAGAGCATACTATAATGTAGGTTATTATGTCAAGCCTATATTACTTATTCTAGATTCTGGAAAGGCTAATTTAATTATTCTTCTTCAGTCACGTTTTGACCTTGATAATTATTCACTTATCAACCTTGACTGTTTTTACATTAGCGTATATGTGTGTACATCTTATTCTACTCATCACATGTCTGTAGCTCGTGTGACTATAAAGATTGATTAACGCTTGATTAAATCTATTTGACTTGCCCGCCATCTCCACCGCGCGTCATTTCGCTTCGTTCATCTGATTGTCTGTCCAGATCAATGAATATACAAAATAAATGTATTCAAACATCCATTCTCGTATTTGACGTATTTAATTCCGTTATACACTCATTTTTTGAAATCAAAGCATATACACTTTCAATAAGTAATTCATATTGTAGTGTATTCTACAGTTTACTCTTATTCGAATTAGTGTCAGCTTATAAGTAACATCACAGATCGTAGTGACGTAGGCTTTTTGAAATATTGGTAGATTACAGACGCTGAAATAAATCTTCTATTTTTCCATTAGTCATAATTAATCCAATATAGACATAAATTTCGAAAATAGGTTAAACCATAATTTAAAAAAAAACAGATATTTGTTTGTCTTTCTAAATAATTATTAACTTCACTTGATATAATTGTGTAAATTGTGAAATCTCTAACTTTTAACTACTGAACAAGATATCAGGTTGCCTGAGGAAAAGAAATTTTACTAGAACAAAGTTTGTAATTAAAAAAAAAATAGATCAGATAGAATTATGTTTAATCTATGAAAACAAGTTTATGTTTTCTCATAAATTTTATTCAGTATTTTGTAAAGGACTAATTTAAATTTTCATACAGATGATTTCCCTTAGTTACTCAAAGGCAGTAAGAACAACGATTTAAAGATAATAACATTTATTTTATTTTAGGGGCTTTTTAGTTATGTGCACTTATGATATAGATCCCAAGATTTTAATATCTAGTGATTTACAATTTACTTTCAGATTCCTGAATCGAAGGGACAGTCGTCTAATGATCTTTATTTTTTAATGGTTCTTCAAGCAAATTCTGTCTATGATGTCAATCATCATCGAAATTAAAATAATATCCATTGACCACCCAACTTTTCATTTAATTTAACTCATTTGTTAACTTCTGACTCATCTTCTTTGTTTGTATAAAACCGGTCAATTTAAGAAGTTCAATAAATTAAAACTATAAAGGATATACGGATTTTCTGAAGGAAAAGTAATATCTGGATAGTTATGGCAAAACACTAACAATCTATTTTGTATTAGTCCTAATGAACATCTACTGATAATTTTAAGTTAAAATTGTAGAAGTAATAAATCATTATTTAAACAAATTCGAATAAAAACAACTGGATTACTCAGGCGATTTTCATTACAAACTGGTTACAACTGGAGAATCATTATAAATCAAGAAGTATTTATTAGGTATTTTGTCTAGTTTTAAACATTTTAGCAACGCACATTGACATCTATGTGAAATCGAACTTAGGAACTTTAGATTTAGTACAATTCGATAGATGAGTGAACATCTAACAGTTCTTATTGCTAATTTTAGTTAGTTTGCGATATGATGCTATCCCGATCCAATGATGTTCAGTGAGTCTCTGTCTCAATATCCACCTGATTGGCTTTATAGGTCAAACCTATGTCTTTTTAAGACTGCTCTCAAAACTAATCACTACTCAACGCAGGATTGTTTCCATCAGTACTAGGTGAAGAACTGAAGACTTCATGTTCTGTGATAAGGAATTTCAGTATATTAACAATGACAGTAGATCATCACAAACGAAATTTTGATCTGTCTGAAACTATATCTTCAAAATGCTATCTAGACGTAAATAGAAAACGGTTTTTGTAAATGTAGGTAGAGTGCATTAATGGGCAAACTGTCATAACTTGTGCCCTATCAGTATATAACTTAATGATACCGCCAATTAGAAAACAGTGACTTATAGACCTGATCAATGACGCGTAAACCCGTACGAGCAGTCTAGAATCATTATCGGTCCTTTCTTCTTTCTAGCTCTACCTGTTGAGTCCATAACATCAATCTCAGCCTCTGCGATATGAATTATGTATTTCAATTATACTAGGTTTATATATGAACCAAACATACCACATTGCACCATGAAATAGAAAATAACGTTTGTACAAGATCTAGCCAAAGTGGCTGTGAATGTGGGAGACTGTAAATAATAAACTGGGCATAACTCAAGAATGCTAGATCGTACAATAGTAGTCTATGAGTCAAAATAAAGCTTACAATAAGATGAACATGATTATGCACAGTTTAGTTACTTAACAATTATACAATAAAAATATATGTATCGTATTTGCCCATTAACAGTTCTCATAAGCTAACATTCATAATTCTTATCGTGATACACCACAAACAATCTATCAAACTGCTTTTTTGTTCGTAAGAGTTCCATGTTAATCTTAACTGATTCCATAAAATGCAATTTTTAGTAAATAAAACCCAATCTTTTCAAGCGAATCGTTTATTTTTCATTTCTATTTTTGATAAGAATCTATTTAGTTTTTACACTGACAAGTCAATAAATTATAATACATAAGTAAACACTTAGTTTATTCAACGTATATGTAATATATTTTTTTAATTATGGATTATTGTTTTCCTTTTAAAGCAACAATTTCACGAACTGCTGAGGAGTTCCATACTGGGACGAAACGGCCATCCAGTGCTTCCAGGTTTTCCATGATGGTCTAGCTTCAATCGACTCATGATTTTAACTAGTGAAATTACTAAAATCTCCACAAAACCCCTTCTGATAAATTTACATAAGTTTAAAATTTGTCTTACAATGCTTGACCCAATAAACAGCTTCCCAGTTATTTTTTAATTTTGAAGGGAACAGTTGTCCGATACAAATATTTGCAACTTTGCAAATTATCAAAAAAAGTGACATTCATTCAAACCTATTTATTGAAAAACATATACATATATACATGCCGATTAAATTGTAGTTTAAAACATTAAAACAAATTAGATTTTTGTTAGTTTTGTAAATATAAACTAAAATATTTGTTAATTTTCAAGATGAGAATATACACAATTTTACATTTCAACTGTCATTTAGGACTAATGTTTTGTTTTGTTTTTTAGTTCAGGCTATTAGTCATATAAAAATGATAAATTTTCATACTGTTACACTTAATTGAATTTAACACTGGAATAATGTTTGAATTGCTAAAATTGCTGTCGGCGGAATTATCATTTCAAAATATTTTATAAATAATAGATTTGTTATATCCTAGTGAAGATTGAATTACGGGTAACTTCTGAGAAATATTAATGGACTAATATTATATATATATATATAGTATAACTATTCAGCAATTAGATTATGTATATCTATATTTCTCTTATTACAAGCTTTATTTTGATCTATAGACTATTATGATGCAATTCTATTCTAAATGATACTGATTTTATTGACTACAATCTCTCATGCTCACAGTCACTTTTGGGGTTGATTTTCTATAAACGTTATTTCCTATCTTATAGTTTGATGCGGTCTGTTTGGTTGGTATATAAACCAAGTATGTTTGAAATAGATTATTCGTATAGTGGAAACTGTTATCAGCATTGTGAACTCAACTGGAGGGACCAATAAGGATGCTAGCTGCTCATATTGGTCGAACGTCATTGGTTTGGCACAGTACTAAGGTTGAATAAGTCATATTTTGATTGGTCACTAAATCACGTGATAACTAGCCGGGCTTAAAGATACAACAAGCTTTAAATAAGATTTTTCGTAAAATCGTTTATTTGATACATAAGTTGGTTTAAATATTTCCTAAAAAATTTCTCCTGGTTACATTTCTTAGTGTTTTGTAAATAGTAAAGAATTTTAACTTCTGCTTTGAGCTAAAATATATCTAATTTAGTCATTACATTCTAGATAAACGAAATGTATACCATAGTGACCATAGTAACTAACGCTGCAACCGATCATGTGTTCTATGTAATGAGTTCGTTCACAATAATTTATAA